CTAACCTTTGACAAAATGTGTATAAATCTTATCGAATTTAACCATTTTGCCACAGATTTTGCCAAAAATATTTCTTAGACGGACAAAGTAATATTATGGACACTCCTTGAATGAAAATGTTAATTTATCCCGAAGTTTGAATAAATTAATCCAAGATTGCATTATTTGCATAATAATGTACTTGTCATTGACCAATCAGAATACATAGAAGACCGGCCGGTGCCAGGGCCTTTTCCTGCCTTCCCAATGACAAAAAGGGAAAGGCCCTGGGAACGAGGTTGTATTAAATCTTTAACTATAAAAGAAACTAAACATTAAATATTTTCGTTGTTTATCTTGCGCTGTGTGGCTTGTAATTTGCATGGAGTGGGTTCTGCCGTTAATTTTGCCAATTATGTTAAGTCTCATATAAAGCATAATAAAAGAACATATGTAGTATTGTTAATCACTACCTTGATTGTCACGGTGCTGATCACTAACTCTTAAAGTTTCATTGATCGACGCCTGGACAAACTGAGGGAGTGTGAGAATTTTGGATTAAAAGTTTAATTACAAATCTATAGCTAAGGGGTCTTAACTCCACGCATGATTTTGTTCAACAATTCTTTCACTAGTGAGTCGGGCATGTATTATATTATAGTTATGCAAAAATTGCTATAAATAGTGTACGTGACAAGCGGCCAAAATATTTAATGTTTAGTTTCTTTTAGTCATGGCTTAAAGATATGACTTTTTTCTTCTCGTGTTAAAAACAATATTTTACTCACTCGCTGCGCTCGTTCGTAAAATATGAAGGAAAGCTTAGAAAATCGTCGTTCAAAGCGACGAAACAGACAAAACTTTGTTGGAAAACCTCGTCAACCATGGATTAAACAATATGATAAACACCTCGAAAGTCGGGATTTATATGTCAGATAATGCCCTCGGATACTGCGCGTCCTCGAGTCATTGTCTGACAAAAATCCCTCCTTCTCGATATTTATCCTATACGGAAATTATTGAAAATAGATTATTATTATGCAATCGCCACCGTAAATGGGTTACTCTGCAACCCAGCACATTTGTTGAGCTACCAGCCATCGGTATCAGATCATATCATTAAACTGGCTCAAATAAGAGGACAAGCTAAAATTAAAGAAGAACGCGGTGCAAAGGCTGCAAGAGTTTGCGAACCAATTTTTGGTCCCATGGTTTGAGTTGCTAGCGAACATGCTTTCCGGTTTTCATCCTTGAACGACGCCCAACACTCAGCCACCTCAATAAACGATTTTTGACATATGTAAACTCTTTCTTGTACTTCATCATAAACTCAGTCATTTCGATATATTCTGTGTCTAGGTACGAGATATGGCCATGGTGTATATTTTGCAAGAGATGCTTCTTACTCTATCCGCTTTTCGCCGAAAGATAGCGAGAAAGAAAATAGTATCTCCCATATGTATGTAGCCAAAGTTTTGGTTGGAGAGAGTGTGAAAGGTGAGAAGAAAATGCGGGTCCTACCAAAACGAAATGACCCGCGCAACCCGGAGTTATTTTACGACTCTGCTGTAGATGACAAGGAAAATCCATCTATTTTCGTAACATTTGATGATCATCAGTGCTACCCAGAATATTTGATCACATTAAGGTAATTCCTCAGTACTTGATGCTGAAATGAAAATTTTCTGAAACATTCCACGCTTGAAGTGTATGATTTGCTCCTATATATAGTAAAATTAGAAACAAACTCGTTCAAAAGATATATAGATCGTTTTTGTATATATTAATTTTTATATTTGTTTTCGATACCTTTTTCGTGTCATATAAAAAATAGAAAAATTATTTCCAGATAGAAAAATACATTTTTAAGCATTATTTTTAAATTTGGTTGTTTTTGTTGCATGCCATATATGGCATGCAACTTTCATATAGCTCTAAATTTCGTGTCGCGGTGGCGGTGAGCGTACCAGTCACGTGGCAGATTCGTATAATACGACAAATACCGAGTTTTTTCGACGAGCTTTTCAAGCTGGTTTTCGTCGAGTTAGCCGAAAATTTACATAATTGAGCGCCTTAGAAAAATTAAATCGAGGTAGGTAAAGCTTTTCTGTTTTTAACTTACCTTATATTCTGTTATTTGTTGTGATTTTGGAGCCGTTGTGCTCGCACTGCAGATTAATATTCACTGAGGCGTTTATATTTTATATATATCAAGCCCAACGCTAGCCCGGCCAACGCTATCAAAATACTCGATTTTTATATACTCAAACTGAAACGGGGCCATTGTGCTTGCACTGATTATATTGTGCACAAAGCTTCAAAACTACAGCACATTTTGTAAATAACATGAAATATAAATATAAATATCAAACAAAATTTGAATTATAAATAGTAGGCTAATACTATTGGAATTCAATACAACGAAGTAGCAACCATTGTGAAGTACGCATACGGTTCAACATGACATTCAACATGACATTCGATGTAGTGTAAGTTAACTCATTTCAATCACTCAAACGTCAAAATGATAAATAATAATTTTCAATCTATTATAGTAATTCACCGTTTCCACGGGTTTTTATACCTTTAATTTAAAAAGTTACAATAAAGCTAAATTGTAAAGGAAATCTAACAGTCAATCGCTTTCGATAAAACCTTGACCCACTTTGACCTTGTTAATGTTATTATTACCGTCGCTTGCAACTAACTATTAACGGTCGCTTATAAAAACATTGCCTGTTCGCAGTGCTGGAGTCTGCACCGTTGGTTAATTCGCGTGAGAATCTTAAGTTTTCTTATTTTGACATAATAGCTATTTAGCTATTTTTCAATAAATATATTGATATTAAACTTATTGAATCAATATTTTAAGTTTAACACCAGTTGTACCAAAGGTTATAAGCGCTATAGTGCATCATAAGTTTCAGCAACCTGATACTCATGGTTTTCACTTAAAGCGGAAGTAAAAACCCTGAGTGGAAGTAAAAACCCTGAGTATCAGGTTGAAGTTTCAGATAGCCTGAATACAGACCTTCGTTTGGCTCGCCCTAAAATTTGCGGGTGGGAGGCGCAAAACGAAGGTCTGATGAAAATTATGTCAAAACGCTCTACCGCCCACTTTGTATTTTGCAATAATTAACGATGATGATTGACATATTTACATGTAACACCTAACGAAAGTTGTCGATTCACTTATTGAAAGTTTGTAAACAAAGTAAGAGTCTGTATTACAGATGCTTGAATAAATATTAAAAATATTGGTAATCCCATGCAGCATTTTGTTTTTATGTACTCTTACCCCTTGCACTCAAACAGTTACAGCTAGTAATAATACAACATTTTCAACACATTCTATAAATGCAATAAAATCTACGTACGCAAGTTTGGCAATGGCCATGTCCCATTGTTGAATTGCATCCAAACGGGACCGAACTCTTACAATTTATACATTTTGAAACCGCTATGCAATGCTAAAATCTAAATAAAATATTGTGTACGTGCTATGTTATCGAAATGCAAATTTAAGCGCACTAGTGCACTGACACACAGGCCTATGTGTATAATTGTATCAGTTTTATTATGATTATCCCAAAACGTAAATAGTGTAAAAATTATTGTATTATAGGCCTATATTACAACGGAATGACACAACACTGAAGTATTTGACAAGTGTGCTCTACTCTCGCTCTAGTTTTAATTTTAGACGGTAGATACTGTTAGCTATTTATCGTTCGGCTTCACAAAATATTTAGAATATTACACTATATGCATAGTATATGCGTTGAGAATACCGTTGAAATATATTCTGATCTTTTCAGGCGGTCAGATTTCGACCACCAGGTCAGATTTCGACCACCAGTCAGATTTCACAGCGTTTTGACATGATTTTCATCAGACCGTCGTTTTGCGCCTCCCACCCGCGAATTTTAGGACGAGCAAAACGAAGGTCTGTATTCAGGCTAAGTTTCAGATGGCATGCAACATGTACGCACTGCGTACCTATTTTTCTATTCTTATATGACACGTTAAAGGTACAGCGTAAGCCAAAATATAAATTAAGAATGTAGGATTGAAGCGCAGCGCAGATTAAATATGGCCTGGATATGTAATTTCAGTAAAAGAGTTGTCCCAGGGTCGTAATCTTTCTAGCAAGCGTCGCTCGCTTGATAATTTGTCATTTGGTAATAGGTATTGCTTTCAAAAATGCTTTCAACACCTTTTCAACAACTTCAATTGCTTTCAACAGCTTTACACATTCAACATTGATTGTTTAATCCAAAATTTTTTATCCAAAAAGGCCGCAATAAAGTACAAAAGTTCGTGTTTTTTAGGACGCCATTTTTCTACCAAGTACATGTCATGGCGTGGGTATGACGTGTACATCTATAGTCTGGGGGAATTAGTCAGAAAAAAACATGCAGACCCGGAATAAATTCCCAACAATTCAAATTTGGTACGATTATTTTAAGTAGAACAACATATCAAAAGCCTCCCTGCATGCATGCGTATACAGGTACAGGCTGGGCAAAAAATTTGCGAGCTCAATATAAAAAATAGCCTATTAACTGCTACATCACTAGAAAGATTGCAAAAAATTATCGGTAGAACTCAATTAAACGGTTATGCCGAATTCCTAATCATTTTTGTACGGTGAAATCTACTAAAAGTTGCCATATTTTGACAATTTTGTGTTATTTTCCACAATTAATAGAAGTTGAAATAATTCAAAACGTTTAGGTATTCGGCATATTACAACCGTTTAATTGAGTTCTACATAATTTTCTAGTGACATAGGTTATTTTTGCTATGTGATGAACTTGAAAATTCACAATTTTACTGACAATAGCAGTTTAATAGGCAATTTTTTTATGTTAACCCTTTAAGCGGCAGTGTAGCAGATCTGCTACAAATAGAAAAGTGCGCGAATTTTTCGCAGTCTGGGTCCAGTTTCTTCTTTTACCCACAATGCAATACAGCCCACGTTGTTGACATTGTTGTAATGGCGAAAATTTTTACCAAAGTGGCTTTTAGACCGAGAAAATGATGTCCAAATCACAGTGATTTCGGTAAGTTTTAAAGCTCTAACTTCGTGACAATGTTCTATCTTTGTAAAGCGCTCTAGGGTATAAGTTTTAGTATATTATAATTTGACATAAGGCAGTCTTTTCATATCGTATTTGTGTGTTTGTATAAATTCGTTTGTGTGTATTGAATAATTTCATAAATATATTTGTAGCATATCTGCTACATTGCCGCGAAGTGGTCACTGAAGCTCAGATTACATGAACACTATATTTTTAATAAAAGACACAACATGTGCTGTATTTTACTGCAATTTCCTTTGAATATAGTTGCAACAAGTAAATATTTTTTTTGTCTTCAGTATTGGGCCTCTTGGCTGCAGGTTAAACCAGTTGAACATTCTATTCTACCCTGTTTTATAGTGTTTATGTATATATGCTCATACTGTGTATATACTATGTATTAGTAAAACTATTGTAAGCTTGATTTTATCCCTTTTCATCATGTTCATGAGCTTCAGTGCTACAGTGGTCAGATCCATATTAAGTTCTCCCCTCTGAATATAGTGGCCTTGTTTCTCGGCTGCGAATCCTATGACTTTCTCATGTGAAAATAAACAAGCGAACACTCTGCCGGAAGTTGTAGGTTTCATCCCGGTAATAGGATTCGTCATGTTTCCTCAAACATGAAAAGTTGACACCGAAGCACTATTACAATTCATGTTACAAATATATAGAGCCATAGTCTAGTAGGGAGTGAGCTGAATATTTATTCCGCCTTCAAGGATGTTCATTGCAACCCAACAAGGACGGCAATAAAGCGGTACGTAGCACCATGGACTTCAAGTCTGATACAAACAAAGGGCAATGCCGGGCTGCTCTACTGCAGGCATTGTGATCAGTTGAGAATTTGAAAGAAATAAAGCTTGTCATTGCTGGACTTTGTTTTGAAAATTTCCGAGAGTTTGATCAGTGCCAACAAAGTTGTTCCCATGGAAACAACCAGTCGTAAGCCAAGCAGACCAAGCAAATGAAAATTGTGTGAGGCAGATGGTCCATCAGCAAAGGTTGGTCGCAAACCCACCACACCTTTACCATCAAATGATACACGGTATGACCAACTTGGACATTGGCCCAACCCCGTGAATGGTAACCGCAGTCGATGTTGCCATTGTAAAGATGGGCTTTCCAAAATATTTTGCGGCAAATGTAAGATTTGTCTCTGCTTAGAGAGGGAGAAAACTGTTTTCTGGACAACCATAATAAATAACTTTCATTGTGAACAAGAACTTTTCTATATCTAATGTTGCGAATATATTATACTGTATATACTATATATATATACTATATATACAAATATATATATTTATATATATACTATATATATTATATATATATATATATATATATATTATATATATTATATATACAATATACATTATATATGTTATATATATTATATATACTATATATACTATCTATACGATGTATATGATATATACTATATATACGATATATACTATATATACTATATATACTAAATATATAATAATATATATATATATATATATATATATATATATATATATATATATATATATATATATATATATATACAGGGTGTATCAAAATAAACGCAATTCATCTTTTGTGCTTAATAACTTTCGAAATACTATTTCTAGTTAAACGCATTTAGGCTTACTTCAAAGCCTGTTCTTTTCTCTTTCAAACAAACTATTATCCTTGTCTCCAATGCTAGTAATGATTGCACAGGAAAAGATTTAGTAAAACCTATCATTTTTAGTTGCTGTTTAATTATGCAAGTCTACTATGTTGTTGTTTAGTCGGTTTAAATGTTAGAATTTTCTTCTTTAAACTTTAATGTTGTCGTCACTACATCTGGAAAACCACGTAAGAACAAATTAAAAGTATTTTAAAAGAGACTAGGTTGTTTGAAAATCCTACACGAATGCTAAAAATCATAGAATCAAAACATTCTGGTGTCTGAGCCAGAGTGTCATCGAATTGAGATGTAATGTAAACAGAAATTATAGCAAGATGATGTCAGTCAGCTTAGATGGTCCAAGCCAAAATTATATCGCATTTGAAGTTTCAAACTGTGTTAAAAGTAGTGGAAGAAAAGCCGTAATTATACTTATTGTTACAATCCATTTAATAAAATGCAACATTTTTTTGTTTTAATGAAAAATCAGTTATTTTCATGAGAACGATTTGTTATTCCATCTCAATTTTTTTAATCTCCAATCGCAATAACGTAAAGTATTATTACCCGCGAACCAATGAGTCAAATTTAAGAAACAACCCACTGTTAGAAAGCTGAATGGCTACGCTTTAAAATGAATGTAAACTTTAACGTTTTCGTCTATTATTTGTTTAACAATTTACATTTCAGTCGAGGATTGCGCTTTTTTTGATACACCCTGTATATATATATATATATATATATATATTGAGCACTCTCTTCACTATACGTTACAAAACTTGTGATATATATATATATATATATATATATATATATATATATATATATATATATATATATTATATATATATATATATATTATATATATATATATATATATATATATATATACCGGGTGTCCCAAAAAAAAGTACTCCGGTTTGATTCGTAATAACTTCTAAACAAGTAAAGCTTTTAAAGAGAAATAACTTGCATCAAATAGAGGAAGGACTAACTTAGATTTTGATATGTTAGAGTTGTATTTCACTTAAAAATTCACGGAGATATTAATGTTTAAAATCGGGAGCATATTTCTGGATGTGTCTGAAATATGCAGAAAACGGCGTATCAAATATTAATCAACATTTGCCCGACTGAAACATGCACTATGACCAGGAAATAAATTACATTTGACAAATTGTTTATTATGAAACAAAGTATTATTATCTACAAAATACAAGCAAGATTTATTTGTCCAAAATCCGTGTGCATATGTTCCTAGCACAAATACGTTTCCTTATTTCATGAGACCACTGCATCGCGAAGGATCGTCATGGATATCCGCGTTCGTAGTTCTGAATTAGGGCATGCTGTCACAATAGAATTGTGAAGCTCTTCTAATTTCTTCAAAGTTCTGAAATCTTGTTAAGAAAACACAAACTCTTTTGCCTTTTCTTAATCTTGTTTATCTTGTTAAGTTCAGAATAAACTAAGAATGAAACACAATCAAACCATACAACTCCATAAGTCATAACAAGCAACTCCCCAGAGACATCCAACATTTTTGGAACAAAACGTAACAAAATAGTAGCGTCGATACTGTGATGTGTATTTGCAAAAAGCAATATTATTTCCTTCATTAAAGAATAATATT